AAATGTCTCAAAGCAAGGAAAATATTACGATGAAGCAAAAAGGGGGGGGGGGATGAAGCACAATCCAGCCGCTAGATTCTTAACTGGCGAAACTCTATAGAAACACTGGATAACTAAAACGGGGCTTGACTGCATTCAGTAATCATATTGGTTTATAATATGTGAAGTCATGTAGTACTTAAATAACAAATAACTACCTAACTTTTTGAATCAAAAACTAGCAGCCTACAAGATATATATACTCGCTGTTGTTTAATGCTAGATTTTTTTTTATTTTTTTTTTAAGTTAAAGCTATGAAAAGAATTAAAAAAAAACTGTCCTAAATGAAATTTCTAAACAATTTCAAACAAACCGTATAACAGCACAGCTTGCGGAATCTAGGAACCTTATCAAGAATTAATTGTGATTGAAGTGTTAAATGTAGTTTCATGTCAGAATATGGGTCTATTAAACATGTGTGCATTTTAAGTCGAAATTAATTCTTTTCGATGATCATAACTAATTCCGCCTACAAAATTACTTATTATATTTAATAACTCTATTTCATTAAATATGACGGTTATGTGTGTCATCAAGAAACAATCGCTTTATCGCTTATATAACTTTAAGTTCTTGGTACACACAAAGCGTTAAATTACCCCACATGGTGCTGCAATGCATATTGAAATTCATTAGCATCTATCAACATGGGTTTTTGTTCCCCCAGAAAACAAGCAATCTCTGCATAAACCGTAATTTTGATTTTTTTTATGTACGGAAGCAGACATTTCTCAAGCCTCGGGCAGTTTGGTTCTGGGGACCGACAAAATACATGTTGCTCTTAAACCGAGTCAATAAATGTCTAAAATTTAACATGTATTTCAAGACTGAAGATTGACGGACTACATTTGCAGAATTACGGTATGGGCGATGTTGGTTAAATGTGTACTACTGCAAAATAGGATTGCATCCATCTATCAATTGAACTTACTTATTCTGCACACAAGAAAAGTAAAAAAGTTTTTACATCGTGAAGTATAATTTTTTGCTCATCTACCAGTCTGAAGTGAAATAATACCAGCAGAGATTAAAATCGGTTTTACTTTATTTATAGAATTTTCCTCAAAAACAGAAAAAAAATAATAGTTTTCCTTTTGTAATTATCTTGATTTTTTCGTTGCTGATATGGATAAGACTGCAAAAACACAGACGATAAGAGATTATCCATACTGTTGAAAGTTTTTTTTTAAGTTTTAAAAATTTATTTTATTTTATTTAATTTATTTATTTATTCATTTATTTATTTGGAATGGAAAATTTAATAATCTGACTTTGACTTCTTAAATTGTATGAGAGAAGAAAGTACAATGAACTCTTCTTCTTTAGAGTTTTGAACCGTATAAATATTTTAAAATTTAATGTAAGAATTCATAGATGACTTCTTAAATTGTATGAGAGAAGAAGGTATAATGATCTCTTCTTTAGAGTTTTTAACCGTATAAATATTTCAAAATTTAATGTAAGAATTCATAGATATAAAAAAAAAGCTAACACGAAATAAGAAAATACTCTTATATGTCAAGGGAGTGAAGTCTTCTGAAGACGACTGCAATTTAAATTACTCTTTGCATATGTCTGTATAGGTTGTGTAACTTTATGAAGATTATAAGTTCTATAAAAAGTCATGTCATCATTTGAAATAGTATGTGAATAAAGCACAATTTTATTGTACATCATAAATTCATAGGTATTATTCATGGATATAGTTGAAGAAAAAGAAAGGAAATTTGTAAAATTTTGAGAATATTTCTATTAATTTTGCTCTTCCTTATATAAAGGTCATACAGTCTAGTATTGACCAAGTCTCGCTTGTAACCAATAGTACACCCAGACCGTAAATTAAACATTAATTCACGCGTAAAAAAATATTTCAAATTTAAAGGAGAAAAGAAAGACAGCAGTTCACCCAAATTAGGTGCTATTTTTTTTTTAAAGTTAATATATAGTACAAAAGTTCATTTCAGTTAGTATGCAATATTATACGGATTTTATGCTATTAAACATGACCTTCTTATTAAAGCCAAATGATACAAACAAAAAAGGAATGCCTTGATTGATATGTACTTTGGGATCTATTTTGGTTGTAAATGGTGGAAATATCAAATATCAAATTTCTAAAATATTAAGAAAATGTAAACGTTCAATCATGTTCAAAATTCTACCTTTCTGCAATTATCCTAATGAATCTATAAAACATTTATTACTTTGTAGGACAGAATTGTGAAACTTGTGAATGAATAATTAAAATCAATATGGTTAAAATTAGTCATTTCACTTATGTAAAAATTTCTACTATATTTTTTTAACATGTTCATGGCCTTGAAATAACATTTCGGATTGTGCTATTTGCATGTAGCTGATATTGTTATTTTTGGCAGAACCAGTGTCGTTGGAGACCTTCAAAGAACATTAGATGCTCTATAATATGAATATTCCTTTTTTTTTTTTTAGAAATGGAGTCAAAATACGAAATGAAAAATAGACATTTAAATGAGAAACATATGAAATTGTTAATAACAGGTCAAATAAGATATAAAGTTCTATTCAAAATAAAATATAAATTAAATCTGTCAATACTAAAACATGGTTTCTCTTTTTAGCTCACCTGAGCTGAAAGCTCAAGTGAGCTTTTCTGATCACCTGTTGTCCGGCATCCGTCAGTCTGTCTGTCTGTCTGTCTGTCTGTCCGTCCGTCTGTAAAATTTCACATTTTCAACTTCTTCTCAAGAACCACTTAGCCAATTTTAACCAAAGTTGGTACAGAGCATCCTTGGGTGAAGGGGAGTTTGAATTGTTAAAATGAAGGGCCATCCCCCCTTACAAGGGGAGATAATCATGAAGAGACAAAAATTGGTTGGGGTCATTAAAAAATCTTCCTCTCAAGAACCACTGGGCCAGAAAAGCTGAAACTTATGTGGAAGCATCCTTGGGTAGTGTAGATTCTAAATTGTTCAAATCATAGCCCCCGGGAGTAGGGCGGAGACACAATAGGGAATCAAAGTTTTACATTGAAATACATAGGCAAAACCTTTGAAAATCTACTTCTCAAGAACCACTGGGCCAGAAAAGCTGAAACTTACGTGGATGCATCATTGAGTAGTGTAGATTCTAAATTAGTCAATTCATTGCCCCCGGGGGTAGGGCGGGGCCGCAATAAATATTACAAAGGGGAGGTCTTGTGAAGTACAGCAAGGCCAAAGTAACTCAGGTGAGCGTTTTGGCCCATGGGCCTCTTGTTTAATATTGCAAATGGGAAGTTGCATAGCTAATGTTGTTTTTTTTTAAATGTTCATTTAGAATTTTGAAATATGATCTGGGCGTTAAGAAAAGCATAGATATAAAACTGGTAAACTTCTAGTGAAAATTGTTTTATTTTTTCCTGTGTTTTTCATTCTAAATTTGGTTCAAACTGTTTAAAAATGATAGTTATGTTTTTGTTTGTGAAGAGCTTATCAGTGGTTCTAGGATGCACAGTCTTAACACACATTTTTTTTACTTTCTACAATATTCGTTTCACGATATATCACTCTGTTACCTATTGTGATGAATGACCTTACCCAATATCTGCCCTTTTTGGAAGATTATAACTAAGATGAAACAGATAATTTTTTGGAACTAAATTAAGATGATTTGTTTTATTTTTAATGGTAAAGCTTAGCCACTTTGAAGAAAAACATTTATTGTAAAATGATGTTGTTTTATTAATGAAACTTCAACATAAGATTGTATGGAGTTAAACGAATACAGTTCGTAAATTGATGAATTGTTAGCTTTCATTAAAAAAAGTACGATTATTTCAACTTTTTGCCGATAAAGATACTTAGAAGTAAAGTTCAATATTTGAGACTAATCAGAACATTTTGGTTTTTTAGTGTCAGTGTAACGAACAATACTCTATGTTTGCTTATCTTGGGAGTTCTAATCGAATGAAATCTTATAGGCGGTGTTACGGTTCAGTTGCAATCATCAGTCTCAACACTTTGTTCATTTATCGATAGCGTAATTGAAAATGTCAATATTCATCTGTAAACTATGTAGATTTCGACTAAAATAAGTGTGGTAAGTGTCCGCACACCTTGTCATTGGCGTAGAATGCCTGTTCTTTGTGAGAATGGATTACAGTATATTTAATGTAGTTCTGCACTTAATGACAATATATGTACCGCCACAGGTCGCTTGATATTAAATCAACTCATAGAGATAGTTCAGTGGAGATTTAAAATGACAAAAATCCTTTTTTATTCTTTAACCATATTTAAATTACGTTTCTCTAAAGAATAATAAAAATACTTCATCTTGCGAAATTTTTACTTATTTTCTAATTTAAGTATCGAAGTCTCAAAAAGTACACCAAGGTATGATACTAATAAAAATGAATAAATAAATTCTATACATTAAAGTAAAAGTCCGGTCTTATCATATCTAGTATTTGTTTACTTTGATTTTGATGGTTAATGTGCGTAATTGTGCCTGTGTATGCGTTGGGGGTGTACATTAACAAAATGAATTTACATGGGAGATAGAGTCACGGATATTTTGATATTTACAAAGCAAACATTGAAAGCCTTTAACATCTTCCATTAGTAGGACTTGGCAATCCTGGAAAAAATGGACATGTGATATTATTTTACTTTCATAAATACATAGAAAACCCTGTAAAAATTCAATGTAAGAAATGGTGGGTAAGCAAGAAGAGGATGTCCCTTTATTTTCTCGAAGATCAGTAAATAATATCCTTTGTGTTCGCAATGTAATATTTTGTTCATTGCGTGTCCACTCAAATTTATATAATGTACGAGTATGCATGGGAGAATGTAAACATATGTAAAATATATATATATATATATATATTCATCACATACCAAATTAATTCTGATCAATTTAATTGATATTAAGTTCAAAATTGAACTTCAAATTTTATTATCACATATAGGCAAAATACAACCTGTACTTTTAACACATTGCTGCCAAAAATGAACAAAAAAGAAACATTAGAGTTGATATAAAGACTTTATCACCATAATAAATATTTTCTACAAGTGTTCCGTGCCGTGACACTCTGTCAATTCGATAGGGTTTTAAAATGCCATTAGATATGATCAAAGCATAAACATTACTATTCATAATTTTATCAAAAATTTTACAGCATTTAATTCCATTTGACGTCATTCGAGCAAACGAGGTAAACGATCTTATTTGAGGTCTAATAATGAACTAGAGGAAAATGCTTGTTATACTTGAAAATTTTATCTTAAAGTTCTTACTCTGATTTTTATTTATGTTGTTTTGAGAAATCTTGATGATGATAAATCATTAGCTAATGATAAGAATATTTATTTTCTTATTTGTTTACCTTGTGCTACAGCCTCAAATCTCTGTTTCGTCTTTTCAAAACTACCTTAGTGAAGTAGAAATGGACAGGCCTCTGTATGACCGTGTAGATATACAAAGTATATCTACTATATTTTTTTAAAAATAAATGACCAACCGTGTTACCCAGCCGAGGAGACTGAAGCTATCATTTTTGATGCCCGACCATGCATGAAATACAATGTCAACTCAATAAATAGGGGAAATAAAGATGAGAGTTAAGATAAAATTTTAAATAGTAACAAAAAGGGGGGGGGGGAGGTATTTTTGTAATAATTGTTGAACATAAATTATAGATTAAACACAAAATTAAATGGAAGAGAAAGGGTAAAAAATTTCTAAAAATTGTATAATGTAAATAATAAAAAAAAACACTTTATATTTTTCATCCTGAATCATACAAGAGGGTCTTTACTTTGAGATTACTATACATCCAGTGATAATATCTTTAAATTATACAAAAATACATCAACTAGTACTCTACTCGGTTGTAATTAGGATATTATCACTGAATAATTTTGACTAAGTCATATATCTAAAAAGAAAAATAAATTGTTTGAGAATCTTACTTTTTTTTGACTTTTGAAATTTGATATGATTTCAAATAATATTAGTTCCAATAATCCTGTCAAACATATCTTTAGTTCATTTTTAAGAATATTTTCAAGTTCATTTCTTTTTCAATTAGTTCGAATTCATTTTCAATAATACTTTACATGTCTACAGATGGAATATATACATGTACCAAAACCTTTATATGCTTTCAAAACATGACATCATAACACGAGGATTTTTTTTCCCTATTGCAGCATTAATGTTGATTTTCGCAAAAGTTTAGTTCTCTATATTAAATGTCCGATGATCTTTTCTGATTCTTTCAAGTATATATATGCTAATCTTTCTAATTGTACTAACATTTTAAGAAGTGGCATTAATGCTACAGGAACTACGTACACTGTAATTAATAACCAAAAGCATAAATACTTATACTTAATATTTGTGATTTTTTTTTTTTAATAATGTGTTAATTCTCTTAAAGAAATGTGACCAAATCATGTATTTTTGTGAAAGGAAAATTAGTCTACATAAAAATAGTCTAAATATAATAGCGAGTTTTCTGAAAGATACAAATTATTTCCCTTTGTTTTTGGGATTTGAGAAAATTCACCTTGACGAAGCAGGCATTATTCAGCTTCACAGATGTTTTCAAAATTACTTCTCAAGAGTCTTAAATAACTACAACTGGAAGAATTTTACCGGTACTACACTTCTGTTGTTTTTTTATTAGACACACATACTTCCATAAAAATGGTACCACATCTTTTTATATGTCACCTTGTTAATTTCATTTTAATATGCAGCTGATTTTACTATACAACCTTTATCAAATTAAACATTAATCCATTCGACAACTTCTCGCCTTCAGTAATTTCGATGAATTATGTTACGAAAAGAGAAGTCGCCCGCGTGGCGCAGTGGTTAGAGCGTCTGCTCTAGAGTCGCGAGGTAAGGAGTAGATTCTTACGTCGCGGGTTCGAATCCCACTGTGGGACGTGGAGACCGGTCCTTCGGATGAGACCGTAAAAACCGAGGTCCCGTGTCGCAGTAGGTGTTGGCACGAAAAAGACCCCTCACTGCTCAATGACCGTAAGTGCCGAGCATAGGACAAGATTTGCAGCTCTCCACCGGCAAGTGGTGGCGTCTCCATATGAGTGAAAAATTCTCTAGAGGGACGTTAAACAACAAACAAACAAAACAAAAAACGAAAAGAGAAAATATATAATCTGAAAGGACAGTTTTATCCTACGTGTTCTTATTTCTTATTTACCGAATAGTTTTGTTGCATTATTTTTTCTTCATTACATATGTGATTAACAGTAAAAATAAAAACGCGTTTGATTATATAAAAACAATATGGGTTTTTATGAACAATTACCGCAAAATTAAGATGCTGAAAACCATACCTCCTCCGCCCTAAATATATATCTGAACGACTATGGCTAAGCACCTTTACGGTACAGATGTAGTCATAAATTATACAGATTTATTGAGAGAAGGAGATGATAACTTGATTACTGATTAATTACTAATTATTAATTTTTATTACAAAAATATATTTCAATCACTAGAAGAGATTTAAAAGGTCCCAAGGAATGTGCCGTACAGTGGCTGCAACGTTATTGTTGACAACTTACATGAACGATCACGTTACACGAACGACTCCGCACGATTAACGCGCGATTAAACCTGTTACGCGAACGATCCTTCACGAACACGATTCTACACGTTACATGATCTTTCACGATTGCTAACGCAAATACACGATTCTTCACGCAAAATGGTTAAAAATATTTAGGAGTGGATATTTTCAAAACGAAATAAGGCTTAATAGTCATTTTAGATTTCAAACAATTATTGATACAATTCATCGACTTTGGAAAACTGAAAAAAAATATTTAGAAATGGAAATTTTTTAAACTAAGTAGAACTTATTAGTTATTTAAGATTACAAATAATTATTAACCTAATAGTCCGACTCAGGAAAATTGATTTCTTTTCTTTTTTATCGATACGTAAAGATGTAATTCATGATCGATTGCTACATGTTCTATCAGATAATACAGGTGGGCCGTGAATTTTGGTTCTATTGAATTTTATGATATGCAATAAGAGGAGGGATATAATAAAAATGGCATAAAAATAAATCAAAACTATATCCATCTTTCCATTTATGAATATCTAAAATCAATAATTATTTTACAAATCATTCATTTGCAGAAATTATAAAAATTATAAAGTAAGTGTCAGAGATAAAGACTGATAAAATTAACCTCTACAAACATGTAGAATACATTCGCCGCCTAAATATTTTTGTAAGCATTGGGAATTATTTATTCATTTATGTGTAAAAATATACATTTTTGATGTATTGATATAAAAAATATGTTGACCTCAAATATAGCAGTAAACATAATTAACATAAAAAAAGGACACTCTGTTTGAAGAGAATACAATTTTGTACGACTTACTATATTGCTTATTTACTAGTGATAATTAGTTCGTTCAATTATGTAAATCGCGCTTCATTTATTTTATTTGGATTAAAAAAAGAGACAAACGAAATACTTGTTTAACAAATAACATTCCGATAAAAACTTACAAAACGAAATTTGCATGTTGCACGATCACGCACGATTAAAACCGCAAATCATTGAGTCTGATACAAGCACGATCTCTCACGTTACACGAAAGATCACACACGTTTCACGAACGATTCTGCACGATTGGTTTGTCAACAATAACGTTGCAGCCACTGTATCATTTCATAAAATGATAGGTAACCTTGCCTTTCTGCAGGGGTTTAAGATGTATAGAAATGCAATTTAATTTAAGGAGTCAATTCTAAACTCCTTAAAAAAATGTATTTGTTTCTTCTGTGCATTACAGATCAATATAAATGCCTTTCTGAATAGTATTCTAATTCACATCAATCATTTTGTAATTGTCTTTCTTGTACATACATGTACAATCTGAATTGTCCTGACTCTTTCAACAATAAATGCTTGTTTATGTCACATTCAGCAAATTAGAATAATCTGAAAAGAAAAGGGAAGGGAAGGAAATTATTAAATCATCTCAACGAAGTCTGACATCGATAAAATAAATTTTTTATAGCCCCTTCAGCCTACATTAAGTAAAAACGGAAAACACTTGAGACGCAATTTAGTATTGAATATATTTATGTAACAATGTCGAATCCATTTTTTAGTCTTTTCATCTTATACTTCAATGAAGAACAACCATTAAGATTTTTTTTTTGAAAATTATGAAAGGTCACCTTTTCTTTTGCTAAAGAAAATGATACGTGGCATTTAAACACCCATGGTGATGAAGCTTTTTCTTACGGTTGGTTTAACTTTCATACCAATGAAATCAAGTATATTCATTTCCCGGATCTATTGAAGATATATTCACCTGTTGCAAACACAAAAAATCATTGTGCCCAAAATTCAAGATGAGGGCAAACATAATTTTACTTCTTGTGGTTGTTGTTGCGACTGTTTCATCAAAAAGTGTGTACCTTTCCAAAACCGAGCAAGGAAACCAGAACATACCTTTACAGCGAAGGGATAATGCGAATCGGGCTATTCTCGAAGAAACCTTAAAGGAAAATGTCGAAAGATTGCTTGAAGATCTTAGATCAGAAACTGGGGAGGTTTCAGAAGAATCCGAGACAGAAGAATCAGTTTCAGAAGAATCAATAGAGGAAGAAGAGGAGGAAGAGACAAAAAGATCCGAAACCGAGGAATCCGTTTCAGAAGAATCTATATCTGAAGAATCAGAAACAGAAGAATCTGTGTCTGAGGAATCGGAGACAGAAGAATCAATCGAAGAGGAAGAAGAAGAGGAGGAGGAAGCCAAAAGATCTGAAACGGAAGAATCCATTTCAGAAGAATCCATTTCAGAAAAATCTGTGTCTGAGGAATCGGAGACAGAAGAATCAATTGAGGAGGAAGAAGAAGAGGACGAAGTCAAAAGATCTGAAACGGAAGAATCCATTTCAGAAGAATCCGTGTCAGCAGAATCCGTTTCAGAAGAATCCGTATCCGAGGAATCGGAGACAGAAGAATCAATCGAAGAGGAGGAAGAAGAAGAACTGGAGATGAAGAGGACCGCTAACTTGCTGAAGAGATATCTTCAAAAACTGGGATGAGCATCTGTTTGCAAAAGCAATAAGTAATCTCTTCTTCATTTACTTTTTATACTTTAAAATTTATACTTTCATGTAAAATTATACTCAACCTGTACAAATATTAGTTAATTTTATTATAGTTATTTAGGTATTGAGACGAAGTTGAACAACAAGATTGTGTGATACACTTAATTTTTATTACTCTTCTATATGCAACTGCTCTTAATTAAAAAAATAATTTATTTTGAAAAAATGTCAACTTTCGAATATGCAACATTAAATTTTTGTTGAAAATAAAAATTGCAGAATTTTCACTTTTCTTGTCTAGTTGATTGAATAAAGACCCACGCAGGGGAATGGAATGAAATAAGTGTTGTTCTGAATGACGGTTTTAGCCTCAGTTATGGAATTTGCTTAAAATGCATCTTCTTCCATTGAATGAAGTGTTTGAACTTCAACATATATGCATATGTTCAGTGCAAAATTGTGTAAAGGTATGGGGATGATACCCTATTACAATTTGTCTATGAGACATGAGGAGGCGACTTATATATATTACCACTACATGTTATAATTGCTCAAAAGTATGAACTCATTTTTCACTTGGATTCATATGGAAAATGTTTTGTTAATAATGTATCAATTTTGGATACTATTGACAAAACGTAATTTGAATACTTTGATTGGAACAACACGAGCTCAGCATGATCTATTTATCACTTTTTAACTTTTATCAGCCCCCGTTTATTCATATTATTCATAACAATATATTTTTATACCCCATTTTAATTTCTCTTAGATGATAAATTTTATATTCTATGTATCAATAAATCAGAAAAGGGACAAAATTAAATGCAGAAGTAACACTGGTGGTCATATTTTCAATAATAAAAAAAATAGATCGTGTCGAGCCAGTTCTGAGGAACAAAGCTAAATTGTAGTTAAATTTGATTAATTTATTTATTCTAATTCATTTAGTTATTTTTTGTTTTAATTTCAAAATATTGCTTTTCTTGATTGAAAGCCTGACGGAATTATGTACAAGGCATTCCCCACTTTTTCCGCATTGTTAAGGAACTATCTAAATTAATTCGGTACTCAAAATGAAAAAAAGCATGATTTTTACATTTATACCTTCACATGATAGGAAAAAAATTCCAAAAAAACCTTTACAACATCGACTGATATACATGTAATAACCATATCAAGAAGAAAAAAATATTGGGAAATTAAATAAAGAAAAATGCTCATAGAATTAAAAATTAAGAGCACTAAAAATCAAAATTTCAAATATAATGTATTTTAACTTTGTCGGCAATTTTTTTAAAAATAGATTTGAGTTAAAATAGATAAGTACAGCTTTAATCAACTTCTGTTCTCCATACATGCCTAGATTTAAAAAAAAATCTTGGAAAAGGTATAATTTTAAATATTACATAGTGAAATACATGCAGTCTATGAGACTTAAGAATATTTCATGGTTTATATTAAATTCTACCCTGGCATAATCGAAAAATATTCCAAAAGTACTTTTACAACATCGACTGATATAAAATCATATCAGGGAGGAAATAAATATTACATAATCAGATTCAACACCTATTGTTAAGGGAAAGATACGATAAAAAATGATTTAATTTATAAAATAGCATTTATAATTCAAACTTCAACTATGAGATGGAAGAGGTTATAATCACAAGTTAATTTATAAAGAACAAAGTAGATAACAAGTCTCAAACTAAAATGTACGAAAAAAAGGTTGAAAAATCCACAGGTACTTGTGGACAGGAACCCCCCCCCCCCCCCGATATTTAACCCCGGGGCTTGTTGGACATTTTTTTTCACAAATTATATTTATTGCACTTATTCATCATGTGTACAATAGGAAAAAAATCGTGAAAACCCCAAAATAATCGTTCCACACAAAAATACCCCACTATACATTATAATGTGCAATAAATATAATTTGTGAAAAAAATGTCCAACAAGCCCCGGGGCTGAATATCGGGGGGGGGGGGGGCTGTCCACAAGTACCTGTGGAAAAATCATAAATTATAATTAATGTCAGCATTTTTCTTGTCTTCTTATACTACATAGAGATATAAAATCCAGTTTTCGTATTTAAAAAAAACAAAAAACTCGTTCCCTTATATAGATGTTTCATAATTATAACATCTATTTTACCAACTGTGAACATGTTAATAATCAAGCTATTATTTGCTTCCATTGTGTTTTGTTGTACTAAGTTTATCAACAGTAGCAATATAGAAACGTACCCTAATATATACAGGATGCGTAATTGATCAAGCACTCGTGAACACCTAAAGATATAGCTTCATCAGAAAGGGCTCTTAGATCTTCATTCCAATAAGTCCTGGTTCAAAAGGCAAATTCTATTCGAATATACTCTAAATTTCACCAAATCACCATAAGAGTAACTTTTCTCAAGAAATCGTTAAGTTGATGAGATTAAGATTGTAAAAACAATTTAATGTTGAAAAATATATTTGCACGGAGAGTACCTTTTTTATTTTAAAACATATTTTCTTTATAAATAAAATTGTATCTTATATTGAAAATTTATGGATTGCCTTTTAGAGATTAGAAAAATAAATTGATTAACAAGATACAGGAAATCATTCCATCATGAGATTTTAAATGATCATTGGGAAACCTTATTTTCATAACTTGGGAAAACATATTTATTTGCTTTTTATTACATTATTTTTCCGCAACGCAAAACCTCAAAAAAGAGATGTCGTAGGATGAAACATTTAAAGCAATTCAACATTCACGCAAGTAAAGTCAAACTTTGTCACTGTTTTAGGACAAGCAATTTAAGCATTTCAAGTTGAATTTAAAATACTTAAATTATTGTGAATGAAAACAGGTTATATAAATGACATTATTTGTGTAGAATTAATTCTTTGGAAGGATTTAAATGTCGGTGGAGGCATTAAAACAAAAATTTTCACTTTTTCTCTTATTGTCTTTTCCCAAACCATTAAAAAAAAAAAAATAAAAAAATAAAAATCTCCTTTTAGGCAAATGGGAGTAATTGTATTTTTTTTTATAGAACATGGCTGTTAATTGTAAAATCTTGCTTTAGTTTCTTTATTCAACCAATGTTTATTTTTTATTGATTGTAAGCATTCCTATGCTTCAACATATGCTATAGCAAGCAAAAATTTTCTCTTCACCCCCTCCCCCCACAAAAAATCTATATCCCCAATGGTCGATATTAATATATAGGGAAATACACTTTCTAAGTATTTATCAAGCAATTTTCGGTTTTAATTCAAAATAACATGAAATGTTTATTAATTTTACCATTAAAGAAGTCACAAATACGAATTTTAACCTTTATAATACTAACTGCTTGACGTAGGTGCGATGAAGCGAGTAGTGAGTAGGTGTTATATATTTGCCCAATTACTTCAGTTTTATTCGAATCAAAGCCGGGACTGGTTTCCAAGTCATTAATTTCTTACTTTAAGAGCATTTATATAAGTTTACCTTTGTTAGTTATTGCCCGAATATTTCTGTAATTATATAACAGAAAAGTACGAAAAGTAAGTCTGCTTGGTTACAAAAATAACCAAAATTAATATAAAGCATTTACCTCCGTCCAGAAAATTTACATGATTGATACCTTTTTCATACGAGCATTTTATCAAGTGCCTATATTTGCATAAATAAATCAAAGAAATCTTTGGAAACAGGACTAATATGTTTTAGATATAATTGCATTCCTGTTGGTAAATATAATCTACATTTGGTTTATATGAAATGAGATGTTATATATATTTCAAAGTTCATTTGAGAATTAGTGTAAAATTGATTTGATTCGTAGTTTACCCTCAATGCATCTGAGTCCAGTTGGGAAACGAATCCATTTATTTAATAATTATGTATATGACAAAAAAACCTCTTTTATTTCGTCAGTACTATTGCCCAAGGTGGAAATATTTCACAAATAGGATAGATCACTAAAAAGAAAGGATACGAACAGAACGATTTGATAAATTGAAGAAATATTGTTACAAATGTTCCATACATGTAGACAGGAGCGCCATTTGTTTTAAACGTCTAAAGTAAGATATTTCAACGACAATGCAGCTAACCACGAAAAAGGCGAGAGGTTTCAATGTAATTTTTGTTGCCATGGATCTCGGTAAAGTGTCATTCAATTTAAAAGTTCATAAATGAAGGATGGGTATATCTATGCTATGTTCCTGTATATTTGCTTTATTTGGGGAGTTAAATTTGTTTTGACATTGATAAAGATTGTCGATAGCATATATGCTATTTTAACGAGTAGGAAATAATTATCACAAGATTATAAGTTTAGGTATCTCAAATGAGTTTGTCTTCTTCAAAATCATTATTTTGCCATAACCCCTTGAAAACACGAAATATAAACTTTCAAACTCAATCGCTTACGCAGGACATTTTGTGTTATACATCACCAAGATATATTAAAATATTTAAACTTTTTATTTTAATTTTGTATCGCACTTTCATTAAGAATAATGTCAACAGATGTAATGCTGAGCTACACTCAACGAGTGATATCCACCACAAGTTTAATAGCGGTATTTGAAATATGCTAGACACTTATCTTTATAAAACAATCTCTTGTTGATATTTACTCTAAAATCGGTTTCATAACTATAAACACTGATAAGGGGGTGTATGATGATTTGGATAATAGAATCTCATAAGGAATGCCGAGTGACAGGTAAAAGATTTTTTCATGTCAATCAGCCGAATACTAACAATAGAATTCATTGCAATTTGACACGATGGTTTAATACTTAATACATTCTGAACTTCGTTCCAAAGTACATTTTGTGTGGAGTGAGTAGTCTTTATTATTCACATTATATAAGGCTAGATTCATAAATACTTCCTAAAACACGTAATATAGAAAATTATATATAACAGGTGATTGTCTTCTAATAAGTCACTCTTCAAGATATCTAAGGAAATTATAAACATATAGCAGAAAAAATGTGCATTTTAAGACAACAAACATATGCTTTCATAAAGTATTCTCTTTCCTATATATCTCAAAAATATCAGCAGTTTATAATAACATATGGGAATGTGTCTTGGAATGGAGAAACGAAGAAAAATTCAAATGCATTTGTACCTGGAGGCGATAAAAGATGGAGACACAATTTTTCATTTGTTGAATCAATTTTGCATCTGTCCTGTCTAAACAGTAACATGGAATGAGAGATAATTGTTTTTTATTTAATCAGTTGACGGAGACCTGCTCTTTCAGAACACTCTTTACTTCACTGTGTAACAAGATGTCAGGTTAAGCTTTTATATGTATTGGATTTTTTCCTGATTCAAAAAAGAAACTTTCATTTAAAAAGTATTATTCATAATATTTAACACGTAGGGCAGGGAAAAAATCTCATTAAAGATTATTTGAACTTTGTGAACAACTTTCATAGATCAGGAAATAAGTGTAAATATATAATAATAACAACGGACTTAATTTAATATCTATTGTATCTCAGATAATACGTACAGTAATGAGTGTCTTTATATTACAATAGCAATGCACCTCATATGATAAAGAATAAAAAGGTATATATAATTAATCAGTATGGAAAAACTGAGTACAAACACATTTCTCATGCACATGTCGAAAAAAAAATTGGGGTTTATATCAATTTATCAATTTCATTATGTTGTTGACCATAACAATTTTCATGTTTCACTTCAAGATTGCTAGATTTTCTTTTATATATATATATATATATATATATATATATATATATATATATATATATATATATATATATATATATATATATATATATATATATATATATATATATATATATATATATAGCTTATACAAACACACACACACATAACATTTCCTTCCTAAAAGTTATTTACGAATGTAACTTTGATTATCATTTAGTACAAATTCAAAAAAATATTTTCATGTGCCCCATCTCTCTCTCTCTCTTAGTTTTGGTAGAATATGCTGTTTGGGAAGAGTTTTGGTTAAAAAAAAAACAACTTTACCCTGCATATACAGAATGAACCAAGTAAGAAAAATACAAAAATCTTTTGTCGTAAGAGGACATAAAAGCTTAAACAAAACGAGCACTGTCAGTATTTTTTAACTAGTTGCAAGTTTATCTTTAAGTTCCTTAACAGTTTTTTTCTATAGATACTTTAATTGCAAGACTTGTGTTCTGTTCTCCTCCAGATATTAAAAAATATACTTAATACTACATTCATGTCTTATATTTGAATTAACATTTTAGAACTTATGAGACATGCACAAACTCTGGCGTGTCACATTGAAAACACTTTACACGTATATAGCAAGGAAGTTACTGAAATTCATTTTCGGTTAATGTATTCTTCAATCATCACGCATGAGTTCTGAATAAGTTTATCTAACTATTTGATGTACATGTACGTATGTATTGTATTTAGACCTCGTTCACTTTCACTACAATTATGCATCCATAAACAGAAGGATACATACTGGGTTTTAGCATGGGTTTTAGCATGACCGTATTCCTGTTTCGTCACAAACTTATGTCCGATCCTTAACTCGAGAATTCTTGTTTGAATATGTTCAAAACAAAGTACGTATATATTTATGATCTAAAATCATAACAACTAGCTAGGCAATGGTATTATAAAAGTCAATCTGGGTCATAACGTTTGGTTTAAAGGAATTCAACCTTAACGTTATTTTCATGATTTTTTCTATCAATTTATGCCTCAAAGTTCATGATGTCAATATTATAAGGACTAAATAGTAAAGTGTGGAAAAGGAAAAACACTTGTTTTAACCTAGCAATCATTAATATATACATTTTTTTTTTCATTTGCAGGAGGAGTACATGTATCTTACATGAATTGAAAGATTTCAATCACGGTTGAAACAAATGAAAAAAACAAGAATTAAATTGGGTCCCAATTACGTTTTTTGGAGTTCTTCGTATATGGATTCTTCCGGATTGAAACCCTGAATTGCCATATATACATCTTCATACTCGACGAAATGCCTACTGTTATTGCCCCCTTCTTCATTTATTCTAGTACTCATTTGACTTTCTGAACTTTGAAATGTATCATTAACATATATTCCATGATTTTCCACATAAGGATCTTTCTGAATAGTTTTTTCTTCGTTACTCTGTGTACTTATATTAGGCAACAATTGATTCATATAAACTTGTGAAACGGATTCGTGGATGTCTTCCTCTCTGTTAATGACAGTCGATTCATTTTCTGTAATGAAATGGAAAGTTATGATACATTTGGGAGGTATTAGTTATTCAAGTAACTATTATCAAGATGTTGCTGCTTTTTTATGTATAGACACATACATGAAAGAGACTTCAGATATGATGAAAAAGGCATTTTTTTATGATCACATACCTCTTCTAATTTTTATTCAGATTTATTACATTGTTGAGCTTCATATTTTATTCAAAAAATAATTTCGTAGGAAAGAAAAATGCTTACCGTAAAGTATCGTATCATCGACATTTGTTTGGATTCTTTGTTCTTTAGAGAATCGAAATTTACGTCCTCTCATCCTATGACAACAAAATCATTTAAAAAAGATAAAGGTATCCATAGGATTTAAACTAAATCCAGAACAAGTATTACTCTTTTGACTCTGACTTTGCTCAAGTGCAAAAAAAGAAATAAATAAGAAAATAAATTTTAAAATATAGGGCCTAGATAGACAAATACTCATACTTATGGGAAAAGACTCTTAATTTTGTTTTTTTAATTAAAATATAATTAAAATATAACAAAGATATTAAAGAAATAGTTTACAAATAATCTCTTACTTTAAAAGACGAGTAACTATGCCAACTACTAAGAGTATTAATGCCGGCACTCCCAATCCTGCACCTACGAACGTCTCAAGATGTCTGTTTAAGCTATTCTGACTTACATGTACTTCTGAAGCGAGACATAAAAACAACAAGATGTCATGCTTACTAGCATTATGTTTTCACTATAGTAAAAATGTTTTTAACATTTACTTTGACTTTCAGGTAAATTATTCTATTTCTCTTTTTTGTGTGATCCTACTCTGATAATATTGAATAGATTTTAAAAGGATCTATGGTTTACTTCAATATGTTTGCATTCAATGCTGCTCTTAAGGTCCATTTTAATTGAAATCTTAAATTGTCTTATGTTTTGACGACACCATTTGTCCTTACTTACCATCACATTTATCTCCTTTCCAATCTGCTTTACAGGAACAATTTCCACTGTACTGTTCACAGCTAGAATTGCATCCTATACTGCAAGTTTCTTCACATGTCAGGCCAAATTTTCCGTCAATACAACCGTATTCGCAGAGGCCTGTTTCCTTGCTACATCCCCCTACACAATTTGCGTTGCATAGTTTATCACAAAAATGTCCGAAGAAGTCAACAGGACATATCCCCACACAGTAGCCAGTGTATCTGTCGCACTCAGATGGACATGATAAACTACACGAGTCATTACAAATGTGCCCATAAACCCGCTTTTACAACCGAACATACATGAACCATCGGTTGTGTTACAAATATCCTGGAAGCAGTTTACACTACATTCTTTGGAGCAATTAGTTCCATAACGTCTGAAATTACATCCTGTAAATTAAAGACTAAATTATTTTTTCATTTGTATAACGTACTTTAGAACTAACAATTATTTATGAAAGTTTTGTTTGCAGATAATTTAAGTTCATATATAAGTGGACATCCAAAACTAAGCCTGACTTTACCGGTAAAAGAAATCTAGTGTTTAAATAAAATTGAAACGTAAAAAAGATTTTTTTTAAAATCAGCTTTGAAAAAACTCTTCAATGGACTTGAAGAAATGTAAATCAGTTAAAGAAACCAGGGGCCCGTTTCATCAAAGGTCGTACGCCCAGTCGTAGCGCTACGCTGGTATAAAGTCGGGACTAGCACAAAGATTTGCGTTTCATTAAACACGTATCTTTACACCGGACCAGAGTTAGGCCGAAATTTTACGTCTTCTCATGGGCACAGTAGGCGTACGTTCCGGCGCAAACATAAAATAAAGCGATATTATTGATTTGAGAACGATTTAGTCATTCCTTAAGAAGAATTACGGCTCTAGGAAGTCTTTTTAATACAAACGATGCATTATTTAATTTCAAAAAAATATGAAGATTGGTGGGGGGGGGGGGGGTTACACCCACTCGGGGAGGTAGTTGACATGCAATATTTAGCTACATAACTTACTTTTAAAAAATTCTTAATAAAAAAATTGCCGTATTCGGGATTCATTTTAACAAAATCTCTAAGTTTTGACAATCCTGCAGTTAAACACAATTGATTGTTGTATTTCGAGGATAAGGTATTGTAAATCGACTTTACGATATACATTTTGTGCCATAATTTTAACATAAAAGCTATTTTTCCCAACATATTTTTTTTTTTGGGGGGGGGAGTATTTTTTCACAAAAGCATAGTTATCTTCTTTAGTTTTGGTTAATGTCTATATTAAAAAAAAAACTAATTTTAAACTCGTAAAACCAAGTAGGCTTTTAAAAAAAAAAAAATATATCGTGCTCCATTACGATTTTTAGCTTCTCAACAAGTTTCTCAGATTGAATTTTTGTGTACTGATGACCCTGATGATGATGCATATTTTGTTTTATTTTATCGATTCTTAATAATTTAATTAGTAGTCCATCATATGCCCAGTTACATAAATATACAGTCAAGTACATAAAATTGTAACGGATTCTCCCTCCACCTTTCACTCTCTCTCTCTGTCTCTTTTTCTCTTCCTGTATCAAAAATAAAAGGGGTGGGGGGGGGGGGGTACTGTAAACATCCAATACAAGAAGTATGTGAGCCAATGCTCACTAGTAATACCCCCGCTTTGATGTGAATACACATTCTGATGTGAATGTACACAAGTTCAGTTATGGACAGACACCGAGATGAATAAAAAGTTGACATTAGATTCGTACAAATATGATTCCCACCATATGGAATGCCTAAACAAAGAGTGTGCGAAAATTGCAAGCATATGCAATCAGTAGTTGATGAGAAAACTGCGACGAAAATTTGTTATGTATGTACGGACAGATGCACAGATGAACAGGAAGTTAACATCGGATTCGTACAAAAATGAATCCCATTATATGGAAAGTGTGTGCTAAAATTTTAGGCATCTGCAATGAGTAGTTGCTGGGAAAACTGTGAGGAAAAATTTGTCAATGACAGACAGACAGCTAGACACACTGACAGACAGACACACAAGGGTAAAACAATATACCCCCTCACCTTCGGAGCGGGGGTATAATAAATATTTTCTCTCCATTCATTTACAAGAACATTTATTTCTTTTCTCAGACCTTAAATTTTGGAGTTTAATCGGAAGGTATGTTGTAAGAAGTTAATATTCTATAATAATTAGATTAAAGTGCATGTTTTCTACAAGGTCCTTAAAATTCATGTAATGTTTCATTTAAATTTATGTATGTGTGTTGTTCTACATACATTGTACACAATACGTATGTTTATGTTTTTTGCGCATGTGCAATGCAGCGTTGTCAAGGACTTAGTCCTGAGACTAAGCGTTTCGTATAGGACTAGACTTATGCCAATTCGTGAAAAGCAAATTACGCCCGACTAAATTTTGGCGTAAGCCCCGGAAATACACCTAAGTTAAGGCTTAAATTTACGACTTTTGATGAAACGGGCCCCGGGATTTGAAATATTTGAAGCAATCTATGTAATTCATCTTTTTGAAGAATATGATTTGATGTATTTATATTCTAGTAAAAAAAAATCGTACAACCTCAAAGCAGATGGTTACATGTAACAAATTTAACTTAAAGTTTTTCAATTATACTAAGCTTACATTATTGAAGCAGAAAAAGCCCCTAAATCCCCTTTAAACCCCTTAAAGCACCACTACCGGTAAGTTATTCTTTACCATAGACTTCTATCTCACAAATTTCCAGTATTGGTCCTGTCGAACGGTGATCTTCTGGAGCTGTGTAAGTGGACTCCACAATGATGTATCTTGCCCATTGTTCACAGGAAATGTCAATGATATTAGGAGGTAAGTCCAGTCCTGTGGTATTGTCTGTATAGCAGCGAGTCCTTTGTGTCGTGTTAGTTTCAGTAGCTGTTGAGTCAGAAACATCCAAATAAAACTGTCTAAATCTATATTGTTTCCAATCTTCAGGCTCATGACCTTAAATATGAAATTATTCAATCTCTTCATAGTGTAAACATAATTATACATACAATCAATCATTGATAACCAAATGTCGATCTGCTCATTATTTGCAATATAATTTCGATAACAATGTAACCCCGAAAGAAGTCGGTTGGAAAGCATAGTGTTATTGTTCCACATAATTTGTCCTTGATATTTTTCATAGATCGCTCAGACAATCTTAATGAAACTTCACCAGTAACAATTATATGTAAGCAAGACTCAAAATCACTGCAATTGCCAAGGAAACGAAAAGATCAGTTTAGGGTGACATACTTTATTACTTGCAGAGATCCTTTTTTCCTTTTAATCTGAAGATTAACACTCATGTAAGCATATGCCGATTCTATATTATTGGAATTAAAGATCTTTTATGAGGTAAAACGCTTAAATGCTACCAAATAGATGTCATCATGGTTGTAATTTTATATATTTTATGCTCTCATTTCCATGTGTTTTCATATTACATGTACATCATTTTATAGATACGCCTTTTTGAAAAAATACATGAACAGTACTCATTGAATATTGAGGATCCTGTTACAAAACAAATATAATTGACTAATTCTATGTCTGTTTTCTTATAAAACAAATATATATTGGAATCTTTTATTTTAATCATACCTTCTCTTCTGTAATATATTTTGATATCCTTTATTCTGTGAGGTATTCCTAGATCAACTTGGAACCAAGCAATAGCCTGGTCGACAGCAGTATGGGCGCAATAACGAAATTTTGTACTCAGGTTACCGTCATTGGCGTATGTTGCTTTTCTCTTTTCATACAAGGAACTCTGGGATACAATCGTTGTGGGTTTTTTACTCAGGTTTTCTGTGGACGGGATAGATAAAAATTCAGACCGTTAAAAAAATCTAAAGATTTTCTTCCAATGTACTACACTGATTCAACTACAATCAAGTTTCTGTTTAACAAATGATTAGTGAATCAGCGACTTATTACTCCTTTCATGTACAGTAAGTTTTATTTGTTCATGATTAATCCACGTTGAAAAAAATTAACAAAACCCTTTCTGTGAAAATTAAAGACCACATTGTTCACTCAGTTTGTTTTACTACATATATACTATCACCTAGGTATATAAGAATAGATATGCCACTCCTCCTTGAATTTTTTCCACAGTTTGTTTTTCTTTATGCATTTCATTCTATTGCACAGTAAGCATAAAGTACCGCTGCTAAATTTGATGGTCATTTAACATGTTGAGGAAACTATATTTTCTGATGACAGAATAAATTTGCATGCTAAATGATGCATCGACGCAATTTACATATTGACCAGTAAAGGTAAATGAGTTGAATTGCAGTTGGGAGTTATTAAAAATATCTGCTTGGTAATCCAAATTTCTACTCGAGATAACTAAACTATTTTTTCAGACATATAACATATTAAATAGAAATTATATATCATTTTCTACTATTATCAAGCTCACATTTCCAACAGTCGATTAACGAGGAAAACACACTATTTTACCATAATTAATAATTTTTGGCACTTTCTTTCGATAATATATTATGAGGCTATAAAACACTTTTTAGATATTGTCAAAAATGGTGACGTCAGGCAATGATGCAGAGGTTCAAATTATCAAACAGTACTGTGTAGAGCAGGATATAATTACTGTCCATACAGGAAAAGAGAATACGAAACAAACAACGGACACAGGTCTATACCTAGTATAGGAGCTTTGAGGATGCCTCGACTGGTTATCCGATAGAACAGGTCTTTGGTAGACCAGCAAAAATGAAGACAAACTGAAAGATCAGGACCTGAAAGACATACACTGTTCGTGAAGACCGCCGTTTAACTATGCGAGCAATTAGGTTCATGATCAGAGTTGGGAAATTGTCGATTAAAAGACCTAATTCTGTGATCCATTGGTTATATTTTATTTGAAAATTCATTAATTAAAAAAAAATAAATACCGTGTCAAATTATGCTTCAGATGAATTTTCTTAGAATGCACAAGGTTTAATTGTAGCCCAACAAAAACAGTAGAACAAATTAACGACTATAGAAAGGTGATCAGATGCATTTTTGATACTTTTAAGCATATACACAACAGCTCACCCTGCCAAAAAATCATCAAATGCTGAAGAATATGCATGATGTAAGTTTAGGGGTAGAAATGTCACAAGGATGGATTGCTTATGTTGAGCGATTTCGGCTAAAAAATGGCACTATATTCCTCACTAGACTGGGGTGTGGTTGACAGTGAGGTATTTCTCTTATATGTGAATCAAAAACCTGACCCCCAATTTACAAACAACAAACCTACATCCCAAAGCAAAATCGCACTCAGCCAAGAGTTGTGGGCCATGTGAAATTTATTAATAAATATTAAGTTTATTTCAGAATACTTATAAATTTATCCAGGTAGAGTAGCAGCTTGTTTAATTTTCTAACAATTAGTCTTAAAAAAAGTTTTTCAAGTTGCAGGATTTTTGGTCTTGGAACTCTGTATTCTCAAACAACTTAGTGTCGGCATATGAACATGAGGATATTGTACAAGAGAATCCGAACAAAGAGGTAGAGGAAGATTGCATGAGTAATCCATTATTACAGCCACCTCTGCACAGTTTACATGTATCCCCTTCAATGGTTTGGTTCCAAAAGCTGATGGTGGTTCGAGAATGATAATGCATTTATCTTACCCACAGGCTTTCTGCATTTATTATTTACCCAGTTTAACATTAATGAATTACATATCCTTTGACTCGGTAGTCCAAATGATAAGCCTGTTGAGAAAGGGACTATTTTTGTTAAAGTTGATGTAAAGAACGCTTTCCGTCTAATTCCAATGTCCTGGGAATTTTGAGCTATTGGGGATATATTTTAAGGGGGGATATTACATAGACAAATGCTTACCCTTTGGATATTACACATCTTTTCAAATATTTGAGACCTTCTCAACATTCTAAGAGTGGCTAACGCGTTATAAATCTGTTTTAGTAATTGTTCATCACTATTTTGATGATTTTTATTTGCGGGGAAGGCTAAAACTCCCAACTACAATCAGCTTACGAAGTCTTTTCAAGATGCATGCTTAAATTGGAGTGCCCTTGAATAGAGACAAAACAGAGGTACCTACTACGTGTTAATCTTCTTGGGTGTAGGCATCGACACTGTTAAAATGCAGGTTAGTATACCACTTCAAAGGTTGGTGACCTCATAGCTACTTAACAATATTTGGCGTCACAAAACAAAATAAAGCTTAAAAATTTGCAAATTCTCATAGGAAAATTATTTTATTTGTTTATTTATTTATTTATTATTTTTCTTTGCAAAAACCACACCACATCTAGATAGCTAGTCAATTGCGCAAGGATATGCTTTTATGGCTAGATTTTCTACATAAATTCAATGGTATGGTTTATTTTCCTGATTGTGAATGGAGTACTCCAAATACTTTGCAGCTTTTTACAGACAGTGCAGGGTCAACAAAACAGGGTTGTGAGTGCTACTTTCAGTGTCATGTTTTGCCATGGCCTACTACTTGGATTAATACCCCAATTAAAAAAAAATCACTTTTTTGAATTGGTGCCAATAGTATTTTTTTTTTTTGATTTGGGGAAATACATTGCAAAAAAAAAAAAAAAAAAAAAAAAAAAAAAATAAAATAAAATAAAATAAAATCATACTTTTCATTGATAACCTGTCTCTGGTACATATCTTTAACAAACAGATAAGTCCAATAGACTCATTTCATTCATTAGGCCTCTCATGCTTGCCACGTAGTAAAAAAGTGACTCCCATCAAGCCACGAACCCCGTTTTCACTTAGATCCGACACTAATTTAGTGTTTCGGCGGTGTGATAACAGGCCAAGCAATAAATAGATATTCTATACTAATTATAATTAGTTATATAAGTCCGCCATCATCAGGAATCCACTTATATATATCAATATTGTATATTCATTTTATTTGTTTTATTATATACCGGTGTGTTCTTTTTAAATAGTAGAACCGGTAAGGGAATTTCCCAAGGTCACGTAATGTTTAAATAATAAACACAGATGAAAGTTGTTTGTGTAAATAAATATGCAAGAAAGCGATAATTTGTTAACTGTCTCTGACTGAGATATGTCAGTAAATGATATGGTTGATTACATTGTAATTGACCAGCAAGTGAGGCTTTACTAACTTTTATTAAAGTTTAGAACTTGTTAGGAGATCTCCTAAACTCCTGTGTTTTTTATATGCAATAATTGGTTTGTCTTTGAATATATCTTTGAGTTCGGGCTCTCTTGATAGAGTGTGCCAGTATTTTAGCAATTTCTTTTTGATATTGCTAATGGCTGGGTTGTATTTTGTAACCATGACCAATGGTATATCAGAATTACTGTTAACTTTCTTTTTTTGATTTAAATGGTCTCTTTTGTAGTTTTCTAGAACATTGTTCATTGAACTGTTAATCTCATTTTCATTATATCCTCTTTTCAACAGAGAAAATTTGAACTTCTCGATCGCATTGTGAAAAATATTAGAATCGCTAGTATTGCGTAAATGACGAATGATTTCGCCTTTAATAATTCCCTTGAAAACAGAAGGGCTATGTGCACTATTGCGTTCCAGATACTGGAAAGTATTAGTAGGTTTTATGAAAGTTTTGACATCAAGAATTCCTTCTAATTCAAACCTTTCTCCCTTAAATAGGGTGATGTCAAGGAAGTTCATTTCTTTGTCAGAAATTTCATATGTGAATTTTAAAAGAGGATGATGTGAATTTGCTATTTGGAAAAATTGATGAATTTCATCCATTTCCCCATGATAGATTATAAATCCATCATCTCGATATCGACCGTGATAAACAATATTATGTTGAAATGGAAATTTGTTAAGAATTTCCGAAGTGACTTCATACATTCTGATATCGCACACTTCAGGACTGCATTTTGAGCCCATTGCGCAGCCTATAATTTGTTTATATTTCTTAGAATTAAATTCAAAGACATTATTTTCTAATATTGTTTGTAACAACCACAGAAGATCATCTGTAGGTGGCGAAGGAATTTTAAATTCTCCTTTGTTGAATTTAGAGTATGCTTCACTGACAGCTGTGAGTAATTCGTTGAACTGCATATTTGTATACAGGGATGTTACATCATAACTGACCATTATGCATTCTGCTTGCGGTCTAAGTTTTTCTATTTTTATTATGAAATCAGAGCTATCTCTGATGTAAGTGGATTGTGTTTTGACTATTGGTATTAGGAAGTAATCAACATATTGGCTGATTCGTTCCGTCGCCGACCCGCATTGCGAGATAATAGGTCGTGCCGGGCAAATGATTTCTTGATTGTAGTGGCCCTGTTCTTTGATAAGATCAAACATCGTCTGATCTAATTTGTGAAGTTTAGGTAGTAAGTATAATCTACCTATTCGTGGATACGTAATATCCATTAAAAATCTATATGTAACTTTATCTAGATACCCATTTGCCTTAAGTTCATTGATTTTATTTTCAATATTCCTTTGGAGCAATGATAAATCAAAATCGTCAATTATTTCGTAATATTTAGTGTTCAATTGGCGATCGCCCTCCTTAATATAATCGTGTTTGTTCATAACAACACATATGTTGTTTTTGTCTGCCTTTTTAATTACAATATCGTGGCGATATCGTAACTGGTTAAGTGCTCTTCTCTCAAGTTGAGATAAATTATCAGAGCATTTTTTTATCTGAATTGAGGAAAGTTCAAGTTTGGTCTTATCGATGTAGGTTTCAAGTGCACCAATCATCTTAGGTGGTTCATATCCACTCTTTGTGTAGAAAGGATGAATCTCATCGTTATTAGTCTTGAAATTGAACTTACATCTCATTT